AGTAATGGAAAGATTCCATTGACAACTCCAAGTAAAAGGTGTTTAAAGCAGACTATAAAAGTTTATTGACTACGAATGTCGGAGTGTCTTTATTGTAACTCAGACTCAGTAAAATGCAGAGAAAAGTTTATAGTATAGATTTAACCTACTGATCTATACTATACAAATTAAACGACTGGTTTATACTATAGAATTAACCTACTGATTTATACTATAGAATTAAACGACTGGTTTATACTCTAGAATTAACTTACTGATTTATACTATAGAATTAACTGACTGGTTTATACTGTACAATTAACCGACTGGATCATATATAGAAATAAACGACTGGTTTATACTCTAGAATTAACTTACTGATTTATACTATAGAATTAACCTACTGATTTATACTATACAAATTAAACGAGTGGTTTATACTATAGAATTAACCTACTGATTTATACTATAGAATTAACTGACTGGTTTGTACTGTAGAATTAACTGACTGGATCATATATAGAATTAAACGACTGGTTTATACTCTAGAATTAACTTACTGATTTATACTATAGAATTAGCTGACTACTTTATGCTATAAAATTAACGAACTGGTTTATACTATAAAAATAACCGACTAGTTTATACTATAGAATTAACCGACTTAGTTATACCACGTGATTAACCGACTAGTTGAAGCTAGAATTTAATGAACTGGTTTATACGATAAAAATAAACTTATTCACATTACTACTTCCAATTTGTTGGTTTCTTTCTTTAATCATAGCTGATTGGTTCATTATTCTAGTCATAACAACAAATAACTTTAGAATTATTTAGTAAGAACTGTCTTTGTTGGTAAGACTAAGCTAACCTTGGATTGATCACGACTTCTCTACTTGTAAGTAATCTAATATTTAAAAAGGATTTGTTGACGTAAGCATTTTCTCACTCTGGTACACGTTCGAATCTTGTCAAGGTCACATAACGTAATATAAAGAAATCTTGTAAAACGAGACACACAGTCAGTCCACCAGGTGGCCATTATGTGTTTATTTGTTTGTAATTAAGTACAAAGCTACACAATGGGCTGTCTATGCTGTGCCCACCATGAGTAACGAAGCCATATTTTTGCGGTATCCTTCAGACATACCACTGTGCTTGGGGACGTGACCAATAAACTCGGAAATGTCGAGAACTATGAAGTGGGGAAAACCTGTAATCTAAACTTTTTCAGACTGAGAAAAAAACAAACTTAAAAATGTTTGCAGTATAACGAAACACTTACTAAATGGTAAAATAAGGGACCGTTTATAATTTTATTAAAGGCACCATCTCTTCATGAATAGAAGTGGCGAAATAGACGAACATATCCAAACTTTTTTAAACTATAAACACATTTTGTAGACACGTTAAGGTTTTTACACAACTCATTGATAACGCTTTCACATAACCTGAATTTTATTTTCAAATTAGTACAGAAATCAGATTTTTTCACATTAAATTCAATACACAAGTCGGATATTTGTTTTGTAACATTTAAAGAAAGAGAAGAAAAAGAAGCCAGGAAAAATGTACAATAGACAGAGTATGATTAGAACAGGTGTTTCCCCTCGTGAAGTGAACTACCATATTGCTTCCTATATAAGAGTTAACTTAACCATAGCTACGTGTCTAGGACTAAAATGTCTCGAGAAGTGATGTTGTTATTTGTTGTGATTTTGCTATGCACCACAGTTACTGCCGGTAAGTTTGGTGGTTCGTTATGAAAGCAGGTAAATAAACTAATTATATATATATGAAGTTTTCTCAAGTCGTAGTTTGAATTCGAAACCTTTGTTGTCGATTAAAAAGTAGCTAACTTGGATAGTCGTAGAATCGAGCCTAGTTCTTGTATTTCTGTGGAGATTATGTAATGTTTTTTCATCCTATGACCACAAATTGTTCCTGTCCTTCTTCCTATGTCCAAATGTTACTTAATGTCCTTCCTCCTATATCCACAGGTTATGTAAAGTCTCTCCTCCTATATCCACAGGTTATGTATTGTCTCTCCTCCTATATCTACAAGTTATGTAATGCCCTTCCTTCTATGTCCACAGGTTATGTATTGTCTCTCCTCCTATATCCACAGGTTATGTAATGTCTCTCCTCCTATATCCAGAGGTTATGTATTGTCTCTCCTCCTATATCCACAAGTTATGTAATGTCCTTCCTCCTATGTCCACAGGTTATGTATTTTCTCTCCTCCTATATCCACAGGTTATGTAATGTCCTTCCTCCTATATCCACAGGTTATGTAATGTCCTTCCTCCTATGTCCACAGGTTATGTATTGTCTCTCTTCCTATATCCACAGGTTATGTAATGTCCTTCCTCCTATATCCACAGGTTATGTAATGTCCTTCCTTTTATATCCACACTACCAATTACGTGGTGTTTCATTTTGAGAAGAGATGGTTGGGATCTGTCGTTTTTGAAATATTAATTATTTTGCAGCACGGATACTTTTCACTTGTAATTGTGATTACGTTTCACTACAAACAACACACAATTTCAAAATGAGAATTCTCCAAAGCAGTGTTATTCTTTCATGTACACTAGCCATTTTGGTTAGGCCTACCGCTTTTGCCACCTATGTAGACGACACCTGCTCCCAGGCAATACTATACGACATCCTAATGACCTTTCGAGAGAAAGTGGGAAAACCTGAAATATAACTTACAAAGAAATATAACTTTGTATTCTTTAGAAACAAAAGAATGTTTTGGGTTTGTAAGTTTTTTGAAGCTGAATATGACTAGAGTAGATTTTTTTCCCTCATGAAGTGAATTATCAACAATGTAGAAAAACTTCCTATATAAGAGTTTATTGTAACCATAGCTACGTGTCTAGGACTAAAATGTCTCGAGAAATGGTATAGTTAGTTGTTGGGAGTTTGATATGCGCCTCAGTTACTGTAGATAAATTTGACGATTCTTTATGAAAGCATGTAAATATATTAATTATGAAGTTTATTTCTTAAGTTGTGGTTTGAATCCGAAACCTTTATTGTAGATTAAAAGTAGCTAACTTGGACAGTCGTAGAATCGAGCCTGGCTCTTATATTTCTGTGGATGTAATGTTTTCATCCTATGTCCACAAGTTACGTAATGTCCTTCCTTCTATATCCACATGTTATGTACTGTCCTTCCTTCTATATCCACAGGTTACATAATGTCCTTCCTCCTATATCCACAGGTTATGTAACGTTCTTTTTTCTATATCCACAGGTTACCTAATATCCTTCCTTCTATATACACACTACCAATCACGTAGTGTTTCATTTTGAAGAGAGAGATGGGTGGCTCTGTCATTTTCAAAGATCTGCAGTGACCATTTTGGTTATGCATACCGCTGTCGCCACCTATGGAGACGACACCTGCTACCAGACAATACTATATGATATCCTGATAACCTTTAGAGATAATATGTTAGGTATCACATGTTAAATGAATTAATTTATAATTTGATCTCAAAAACATATATTTCTTAGTGTACAGTAAAAAAGACTAACTTAAATTATGTTCAGGATTTGTAATGTTCTTCCTTCTATATCCACAGGTTACCTAATGTCCTTCCTCCTATATCCACAGGTTATGTAATGTTCTTCCTTCTATATCCACAGGTTACCTAATGTCGTTCCTCCTATATCCACAGGTTATGTAATGTTCTTCCTTCTATATCCACAGGTTATGTAATGTTCTTCCTTCTATATCCACAGGTTATGTAATGTTCTTCCTTCTATATTCACAGGTTACATAATGTCCTTCCTCCTATATCCACAGGTTATGTAATGTTCTTCCTTCTATATCCACAGGTTATGTAATGTTCTTCCTTCTATATCCACAGGTTATGTAATGTTCTTCCTTCTATATCCACAGGTTATGTAATGTTCTTCCTTCTATATTCACAGGTTACATAATGTCCTTCCTCCTATTTCCACAGGTTACCTAATGTCCTTCCTCCTATATCCACAAGTTATGTAATGTCCTTCCTTCTATATCCACACTACCAATCACGTAGTGTTTCATTTTGAAGAGAGAGAGATGGGTGGCTCTGTCGTTTTCAAAGATCTACAATGGAAATTTTGGCTATGCATACCGCTGTCGCCACCTATGGAGGCGACAACTGTTTCCAGCAATACTATATGATATCGTGATAACCTTTCGAGAGAACGTGTTAGGTATCATCCTGATAAATGGATTAATGTATAATTTGATGTCAAAAACATATTTCTAGGTGAACAGTGAAAAAGAGATTAACTTAAAATTAAATAAATTTCAGGATATGAACTTTATTGGTAATACAATATTTTACATAACAATAACTTTACAACGTTATTTACGAACAAAACGTAGAAAAATATCTCAATTACACACTAAAATAATAAAAACATGAACCATTACATTAAAGGTAAAATGGGTAAGTATATAATTCCGTCTAAAACAAAAAGTTTAAATTTTCTAAACATTGTAATCTTTATCTGTTTACGATGTTCCGTTGTTTGCCATTATATAATATTAATTGTTTGGTTGTTCAACTCAACGACATCTTATAAACACAATGAACTAAACAGCATTGTTCAAGCCTAGCCGTTCTTAATTCTGAGCTACAGACCAATGTTAAGGTAACAAGTCGGTAGCACACCCACCGCCTAAAGCAGTTGCTATTAACTAAATAGTGGGATTAACTATAACACTTATAACGCATCGACAGCTGAAAATGTAAAGCGTAATTGGTAATAAAACGTCTCGAATTCCAGAACGGCGAATCCTCAATGTTTTACGATAACCAATGGGCCACGCCAGGGCATTGTGTATTAATCCTACTGCATTTTTTCTTTACTAAAATTAAATATACTATACATTTTTGAAATTATGACTTACATATATTTTATTTAAAAAATTATAATGTTAATAGCTTTAGATATACCTGTAGTGGTGGAAAGTAGATTAAAAATATTTTCATTTTGTTTTTTTGCAGAAGGATACTTTCCTGACTGTACATCACCTCCAGTAAAAGGTCCGTGTCGTGCAGCGTTTACACGTTACAATTATAATCCAAGAACCCAACAATGTGAACTATTTACATACGGAGGCTGTAAAGGGAATGGGAACCGATACAAAACGGAACAGGATTGTTTGGCTGCTTGTTCAGGTTTGTAAAGTAGGCTTACACTTTAAATATTAAATGTACTAAATGTAGGATAATACACAGAAAATTACTAGCAAATTTATTGATCATGAAATAACAATTAATTCTATACAAGTGTTTTTAATGATAATTTTCTCACCTTCATAAAAACAATTTAGAACTCAAGTTTAGAAATGAAGATAATGAATTATGTTAGGACTACATTAACAATAGAAGTTAGTTTATACAACGTAAAGTAGATGATTCGTCAAAACGTAATCTATATAGAATGATCAGTACATGAAATATAGTTCGTAATATTTTATTATTAGCAGTAAACTACACATATTCAACACCATACTAACACATGATTGTTTACACCAAGTTCCACATTACTGCTGATATCAAGTAGTATAATACTGTTAACACAAAGAAGAAAATTTTTGTTAACACAAATTAGTACATTATTGCTAAATAAAGTAGTACATCAGTGTTAACACCAAGTAGTACATTATTGTTAATTCTAAGTTAGTACACATTGTTAACAAACAGTGGCGCATTATCGTTACATAAAGTATTGCATTAAAATTAGCACCAAGAAAAATATTGTTATTAATAGTGCATCATTGTTAGCACCACGTAGTGCATTACTGTGAGGCAAGACAAGGTTTCCGTAGGTTTTCACATATAAGATCATTTTGTTTGTGTTAGTGTATTGTGTTATTGAATTCGTTAAAAAATATATAAACTGTTTCGTATCTAAAACCTAGAGAATACGAGATAAGTTTTCTGTAAATATATATTTGTTACATTTGAACATCTTAAAGAATGTTTTATCTATTTGTCAACCTCCTTGACACTAAAAACCATGATTGAAACGACACTGACGAACATCTAATTTTATATTTCAGGGTCACGTTATGCCTAACGTCTGTAGACGAAGAAGCTTAAAGAAATATGTAGTGAGCATGATAGATTAACTTTTTAAATGTTACTGTTCTGTGTGTTACTAGATATATGTGTTCAATACCTTCACTTCATTCTATTGTTATAATATAAAAGTATATATTACAAACTAATAAAGATCTATAGTTCTGAATTAATCTGTGATTTACTAGATTATAATTAAATATTATTAATAACTTGATGTGTAACAGCACCTTTTTATGTTATAATTATTTGTAACACTGTTTAAAATAAAAACGAAGTTCATGAAACTTAGTTGAATGGACGGCAACTGCCTGTTGTAGAAACACGAGTTTAGAGGACGATGTTCGAAATTCTTCCGCGTTCTTAGAATATCAACAAACGTACAATGATCTAACATTAACGACAAAAAGGCAGACATGTTTCTTTGTTTTTGATTCCTTTTTTTTTGAAGATGTGAAGACATTAAGACAATAAGAATATCTTAGGTAATGAAGAATAATCTTTGTTAATTAAAGCCGTTAGATGTACTTGGATAACGTCTATTACAGGCTGTATCGTGTCTTACTTTATAAACCAAAATATAAAACTCTCACGTTTACCATCGTACTTCGATCATCAATCATTTGTAAAGCCTCTTCTTACTGTAGTTTGTACTGTACTGATATGAAATCTTTATTTAAAAATATACGATCATCTGTGTCTTTTCATAAAAATTATGTTTGATATCCGCGTAATTTAACCTTTCGACTACCATAAACTACAAATAAATATTGACCTTTACGTGCTGTTATTCCTCTTCAAGTGTGACGTGGAGGACAATAATATCCAACACTTTTCACTCAAGCAATACAGAAGTTACATTATTAAACGTACGGGCTGATAAAACATTACAATTAATAAATAAAGCTATATTAATATCGTATTGTTATGTCTCCGTTCGTTAGTTAATTTTCCGTAACTTCGTTCTGACGAAACTTTAG